AATGGGGCTAGAACTGGCTGTGCATAAGAATACATAGCCGGGCTCTTACATCATATGCAAAAATTAACTTTAACTCAATTAGATACTGAAATAAGAGGCATATGAGTGCTACAGTGGAAAAGCTCTTTGGCAATGCTCTGGCTGGTGTTTTTTAGGATATAAAACCAAAAGCAAAGCCACAGATAAAAAAGCAAGTGTGATTGTGCTAAACTCAAAGTCCTTGAGCAGCAATGTGCACACAGAAGAAAAAACATCCTGCAAAATGGAAAAAGATCCCAACATCATAATATCTGATAAGGGTCTAGTATTAAAAAAAAATAAAAGAATGCAAACAAAGATCCCAGAAAAGCAATCCCGTTTTCAAAATGGGCAAAGCTGGGCTAGAGACATGACTCGGCAGTTGAGAGCACTTGCCACTTCCAGAAGACCTGAGGTAGGTTTCCAATATCCACACTAGGATGCTCACAACCACCTACCTCTCCAGCTCCAGGAAACCTGATGCCCTCTTGTGGTCCCCTCAGGCATCAGTACTCAAAGGCGCCCGCACACACACACACACACACACACACACACACACACACACACACACACACCTTAAAAATAGTAAGATACCTGAGTAGGTGTTTTTTAAAAGAGATTACCAGCAGGCATGGCAAAGGTGTTCAGTGTCACATCAGGAAAACACCAATCAAAGCCAGAGTAGAATGTCATTGCTGCATGTTAACAAGGCTGTTATCAAGACAACAACAAGAGAGGCTGGAGAGGTGGTTCAGTGGTGAGGAGCACTGGCTGCTCTTCCAGAGGACCCCAGTTGGATTCCCAGTATCCACAATTAGTCATCCATAACTCCAACCCCAGGCGATCTGACACCCTCTTCTGGAGTCCATGAGCACTAGACATACAAGAGTTCACAGACACACATGCAGGGAAAACACTAATAAACATAAAATACAATTTTAAAATAAAAAAAAGAGCTGACAAGGGTATAGATAGAAGGGACCCGTGCACACTGTCAATAAAAACATAAATCGGGACATGTATTACTACAAACGGCAGGAGTGTTCCTCAAAACACTGAAGACTGCCGTTGATAGATTCTGGGAAGTAGAGTCACTGTTGCCAGCTGTGTAACCACTACTGAACCCACCAACCTCCAGTGGACAGATCCAAGCTCGTGTTCATACAGACAGCCCTGGTGAAACGCAGTGGGTCACAAAACAAACTGAATGAGCATGCACACAAGGACAAGTTCTGTACCCAAAGCAGGAGTGTCTGAGAGCCGTAGGGAGACAAGAGAGGACGGAGCTAAAAGTGGTCACTACGCATTATGTACATATATGAAACTGTCAAAGGCAAATTCAATTGAGGCAAAAAGATTGAAAATATTAGTGCCATATGACTCAGGAATCCCTTGTTAAGTAAATGTCCAAAAGAAATGAAGCTGGGCCCGGCAGTGGTGGCGCACGCCTTTAATCCCAGCACTAGGGAGGCAGAGGCAGGTGGATCTCTGTGAGTTCAAGACCAAGCCTGGTCTACCAAGCGAGTTCCAGGACAGGCTCCAAAACAATACAGAGAAGCCCTGTCTCGAAAAAAAGCAAAAAAAAAAACAAAAACAAAAACAAAAAAAAAGAAATGAAGCTGGAATCTTGAAAAGACATCTACACATGCATGTCTATTGTGACACTGTCCACAACAGCCAAGACACATTAGCAACCTAAGAGTCTGTCAATGGATGAATGGATGAAAGGACATGGTTCATATTCACAATGGATTGTTATTCACACACACACACACACACACACACACACACACACACACGATAGCTTGGGCACTGAAGAGAAGGCTCAGTAGCTCGGTGCCCCAGATCTACATGAAGATTCAAACCCAACTGTAACTCATGATCCAGGGGATCCAACACCCTCTACTGGCTTCTGCTGCTACCAGGTACACATGCAGTACACATACATACACACAGGCAAAACACTCTTTCCAATTTCTTCCAGTCCTCCAACTTTATTTATTCTTTTGGAGATGGTTTTACTACATTACTACATTGTACTGGCTGTCCTCAAACGTGTGACCTTTCTCCTTTAGTCTCCCACGCTGCTGGGATAACAGACACATGCCACAATACCCAGCCATCAAGTTTCTTTTTTCCATTTTGCATATTTTATATGACAACTTATGACTCTCAAGCAGCATCTGAACTTAACAGTCCCTGGGGGAGAGAAATACTATCTCCAAAGGCATCTGTCCTTTGGACACTGGGAACTACCTCCTGGCTAGAGCCTGCAAACAAGCAAGCAATGCAGACCCGTGCAAGACGCTGGGGAGGCAGACCCTCAACGCAGAAGGAAAACACAAGACACAAGCAAGACCAGAACAATATGAACAAGATTTTCCAAATGGAGATGTTTCAGGGGGACAAAATGAAAAGGCGCAATCGGCACAGGAGGCGGGAAACAAAGAAATTGAAATAATGGAAAGCCAGGCGGGAACTCAGAGGACAAGGACAATCAGTCACAGAGGGAAAACTCAGATGGAAACAACATGGGACATTTCCTAGAGATCGAGAGGTAATACTGAAAGACAGTGTTTCCCCCCCTAAACTGTCAATCAAGAAGACTAGAAAACAAGGAAAAGGAGGCGGGGAGATGGCACGTCAGTCAAGCGACTGCAAGCACAAGCCCAGAGTTCAGATCTCCAGCACCCTTGTGACCGCGACACCGGCAGGACAGAAACAGGTTAACACAGGTTCACTGGCCATCCCAGTCTATTGAACCAGTGAGTTCCAGGTCCTACAGAGAAACTGTCTCAAAAAACCAAGTGGGGGGGGGGAGGGAGACACCCAATGTGGCCTGTGGCACTCACACACACAGGCACACATGCAAGCACACATATAGATCACACAGATAAAAGGGGGAGGGCTGTATAGATTTGGGGGGAATTCTCTATTGTAATACTGCAAATATCCATGTGAAAATAATTACAAAAAATGTATTTGAAAATAATTGAAAGACATCTGTTTTTTTAAAGTTTCTATCCCTAATAAATGAATTACCAAAGTCACAGGACAGATCAATATAGATCGGAAAGTCAAGACACACAAAGCTTGCTAGCCCTCCTTGGGCCCAATCTCCACTACCACAAAAACAGTATTTTAAAGAGTTAATTGTGTTTCTAGTCCAGTATCTAACAATAAACAATGGGAACCAACATTTTAAAAATAGCATCATTTATAACAGCTTTAAAAACAAAATAAAATACTGTGCTAAAAAATAAAATATGCACAGGATCTGTGATAAAAATAAAGAACACTGACAAAAGAAATGAAAAAAAAACTCTATGTAGCTCCGGCTGTCCTAGAACTCACTATGTAGATCAGGCTGGCCTCAAACTCACAGAGATCAGCCTGCCTCTGCCTCCTGAGTTCTGTGACTAAAGTGTGCACCACCGTGCCTGACCCTCTTACAGCAGAGTTTCAGGAATTAAAGCAGAATGATGTACTGACACAAGGACAGACAAATAGATCAAAGGATCAGAGAACTCAGAAAAAGACTTAGGCAAATCCATGAGATGATTTTTTGACAGAGGGCAGAGGCAGTTTGGAGACAAAAGGATAATGTCCGTAACAACCACAGTAACAATGCGGGCACACGGTGCAAACATGAACCGTCGTGGTCCTGTACCTTACACCTTAAGTGAAAATAGCTCAAAATGGATCTCAGACTCACATGCGAAACATCAACACTGTGTAAAAACTGACAAATAACAAAAGAGGAAACCTTTGTAACAACGGGTCTGTCCATAAATCCCAGGCACAAAACTGAGCATGGGGTCAAGAGCCTCCCAAATGACACACGGAACATCAACGGCTTTGGCTATGTGGGACACGCCACTACAGAAAAAGGAAAGACAGCTGCAGTCTGGCAGGAGCGCTGTCCCATCACAGGCGCCACCGGGGTCTAGAATTGGAACTTCTATTGGAATTCAAGTTCCCAGGGAAGGGAATGCAAGCAAGCACCTGTATATGTTAAAACTGAGAGAACGCATTTCTATAGGATGCATGCCTGGAATACAATGAGACCTCTATCTCTGTCTTCTCTTGGATAGAGTACAGCTAAGCAAAATAACCAGACACTTTACAAGAGAATACATATGCATGACAAGTACATGAAAAGCTATCAAAACTGTGTATTAAAAACACAAGACAGCACCACAAACCTACTGCAATGGTTTTAAGAGAAAAAAAGGAAAGAAAAACAACTGGTAAACTAAGTCTTGAAGAGTCCGGAACTGCTGACCCCGGCGTATTCCTGGTACCGCAGAACAAGGCTATTCCTTCAGACGCCCCCTCCCGGAGGGCAGGAGTAACTCCCAGCTCACCTCAGACGTACCATAAACAGGCGAAAAAGAAATCTTCAGCAAAATATCAGCAAGGCAAGCCAGCAGCATAGTCAAAGGATAACACATGAGATTTACCCCAGGAACTGTTTGCACATCGTAAGACTAATGTAATACAAAGTATGAGTAGGAAAAGATGAAGTCTGCCGATCATCCCTGACTCTGTGAGGTCAGGCTCGAGGGGCGCCTTGTGATACACCGTCAACTTTGCGCTCTCCCAGTGTCTGGCTTAGGGGAGCTGACGGATGCTAAGTCAGTATCTACCGCATGCCAGGGTAGTGCAGACTCACAGACTCACAGAAGACAAGCAAGAGTATGACTCAGTAAGTGTTAAAAACAAGCTCGCATGGGAACACAAAGACTCACTGCCAGGGTGTAAGGAGACTATCTCATTCCTACTCTTACATTACAGAGGTACATTTCAAATGGTCAAAAGTAAGTCTTGTGGTAACAAATTTGCTAGCTAGCACGTAGAAAAACTTAAACAGGAATATTTGACTTTCTGCCTTACTTTACCTCTCACCAAAATGTTATCATTTCTTAGGCCCAGCTGCTATAAATTTTTGAGAAATATGTTCGGGACAGCCCGCCCTGTACCTTGTGAGGGCCCAGAATCCTCTGCCTGAACTTCTCAACTGTTTCTTGACCCATAGCCGACCAAGCATTGGCAAATGCTTCTGCTTTCTCTTGGGTAAGACGAATATTCTCCAGTTGCTGCTGCAGTGCCGCCGGCTTCACGTTGTGGTACACTGCCTGTCAAAGAGGGGAAGCACACACATCCTCAGGCTTATGCAAAGACCTTCAGCTGTAACAGTACATAAGTATTTAAAGCAAACTAAATACTGTGCGTGCGTGCGTGCGTGCGTGCGTGCGTGCGTGTGTGTGTGTGTGTGTGTGTTTGCAAGTCCAGGGCCTGTGGAGGCCAGGGGCACTGGCTTCCCCGGAGCTGGAGCTATGGTGTTTTTAAGTAGCTAGAAGCAGATTCTGAAAACTGAATTTGGGTTCCCTGAAAAAGCAGTAAGTGCTCCTAACTGCTGAGCCATCTCTCCAGGCCCAGCATTAAAACAGTTTAAATCGAAAAGACTCGATGGCCCTCTTGCAGGCATTTTCAACAGTTCTATTAATAACAATACACAAAACAAAGAGCTAAAACTCATGGTTAATAGGCCTAACTTGTTCAGGCTAAATGTTTCATTTTGCATGGGTTTTAAAGAATACTAAAATTACTTAGTAAAGTTTTATTTCATTTATCTCACTTAATTTAAGTTTACAATCGTCTCAGCAAATACATGTTCTCAAGGAGTCCTCAAAACTGCCTTTATCTCCCAACCAAAGTTACATATAACAAAAGAAAATTCTAAAAATAATTTTAAGAATATCTGTTCTGTTCCTTACAGAAATTGATAACAACATTCCCACAAACCCCATCCTGTGCTGCTCTGTTCAACTACCTTTCTTTTTCTACTGGAGGTTCACCAAGCCTAAGAAGAGTTATCATTAAGATCCCCACTAAGGTTTGAATATGAAGAGTCCCTCCCAGGTTCAGGGGCTTGAGCACAGGTTCTAGCTACCAGCACTCTCTTTGGAAGAATCTGCTCCCACCGCCCCAGTCACAAGCCACCCCCACCTCCATGATTTCCCAAATGCATTAGATCCTTTGAAACCCACCAACCAAAATAATCCCCCATTCTAAGTCATGTATCTGATCCCAATAACAACAACAAGTAAGAGAGGAAAGTGGCTAAGGCGTGATAAACCTGAGCATGGGGTTCACAGGTCTTTGTGATTAGTATACGGGGGAATATAGGTGAAAGGGTTTGGGGCCACAGGCTAGAAAAGATCCAGAAGGATGCAGGGGGAACATGATGTTGATTCTGAGAGAAGTGCTGATAAGAATGGCAATGCTTCAGAGAGGAACAAGGATTCCATCAGAAACGGAACTACAAGTCATTCATGTTACGTTCTGACACCCCACGTGGCTACATTCTACATGCGTCCTGAAATTTGAGTGAGGCAAAATTAAAAAAATAATGAACTGGGGGCTGAAGAGGGCTCAGCCATTTAAGAGCACTGACTGCCCTTCCAGAAGACATGGGTTCAGTTCCCAGCACCCACAAGGCAGCTCACAACTGTCTGTAACTACAACTCCACACGCTCGTCTGGACTCTGAGGGTACCAGGCACACATGGTGCACAGACACGTATGCAGAAAAAATATACAAAATAAAGTAAAAATAATGGATTAACATTTGGTGAAGGAAATTTCAAGGCAGTATACAGTATGTGCCATGGCTACTGCTTGCTACCCTTAGCCAGGTTTTATAAGGAAAAATAGAAAGAGAGAAAAATATGTGGGGGGAAAGAGCTGGAACACAGTCGGGATTAAGGACAGGACAGGTACGAGGGACACAGACAAAGTGGCTCTAACTGCTAATGAGATTAAGGAGAGACCTGGCACTTTACACTTTGCCCTGGGGCGATAGGAATGATGCCCTGGGAACAAGATGCCACCCACTGAAGGCTCTAGGGCATAAAACTGAAAACCATTCATCTGCAAGAAGAGAGAAAAACGCAGTGCCTAAACAGAGACAGCTCCAGGAGAGTGTTCTCCCACACCACAGATGCTGCAGCTGTGGTGAATGGACGCTAAGCTGTCTGTCTTTGCAGCAGAAACCGGCAGCAGCACCGACACAGTACTGGTTCTGCAGATATACAGAATGCAGGGGTTACAGCACTGTGGACAATGGCAGCAAGGTTCCAGAAAATTAATGAGACCAGACAGTGTGTCGCAGGGTAAGACTCCATACATGGAGTGCCTGACTGGGCTGGTCATAAAGTTGCAAAGATGAGGTGCATCCACTGAGGAAAGCTGCAGGTGCCTTGTGAAGCCATGCCAGGACCAGATGTGCCACGGGAAGCAGAGCTATGGTTATGGGGCTGCCTAAGCTCACTGGAACCCAGATTATGCACTGTAAATTCCAGACGCTAGACATGGAACTATAGAGCTTGCTGTCTCTCTGATGTACGTTCATCTTGCTTTGGTGCAGTTTTTCCATGGCATATCACCAGTCCTCCCTTTTGAAATGGGAATAATTACCCTGTATTACTGAACATTGAAAATATGTAACTTGGCGTTTGTTTGTTTGCTTGAGATGTAATGAGCGTGTGGAGGCAAAGGATGGACTGTTATGGCTTCAATGTCAAGTCTTCCCCATAGGCTAGTGCCTGTGAAGGCTGGGTCCCTAGCTGGTGGCTTTTTGGGAGACTGTGAACCATTAGGAAATGAGTCTTTACTGCCTCATTGGAGAGCAGGCCATAGGTGTTAGAACCCAGCTCCCGGTCAGGGCAGGCTCTGCACTTCCTGATCTTGGGAACTACAAGTTCTATGTCTTACACTCCTGCCTCCATAGACAGGAATGTCCATGAAAATATCACCACATCCTGCACATTGGATCAAACTGTGAGCCAAAATATACCCTTCCTTAAGTTGTTTCCTCAGTTGTTTGCCATGACAACATTCCATCTATAGCCTCCATCAGGTGGTGGCAGATGCCTGACACCTTGTCCTAATAGTGTCTGTCCTCTACAATGCCCATGAAACTGCAGTACAAATATCCTATTTAATAAACTGATAGGTGATGGGGGAAGTCCTTCTGTGTATATGTTTGTCTTATTTGTTGATAAATATAGCAGTGTTGGCCAATAGGGAAGCAAGATAGGTGGGACTAGGAGTCAAGGAGGAGTCTGGGAAATGTAGTCAAGAGTAAAGAGTCGGCCATGTGATCCCAGGAAGAGAGGATGCATAAGGGTGGGATCCTCGGTAAGATAAGACCTTACAGAAATATATATATTTGTAGTTATGGGTAATACTTAAGACAGAACTAGCTAATGAGAAGCCCTGGACATTGGCTGACAGCATTGTAACTAATAGAGTCTCTGTGTGTTACTTGGGGGCTCTGAAGCGGCGATGGGACCCAGGCAGGAATCCCATAACAGATAGGAATTTACTGCAAATCTATTTTAAGTTCAGCTATGTGCTAGGCTTATAAAAAGAGATGCAGAAAGTAAGATCCCGGCCCATGCTATGTCCAAATCTAGTGACAGAAACAAAAGTGGCATGTGTGAAGTAATGGGAGACTGCCAGTGTCCCTACGGTGATGATCAAAGAAACACAAACAAGGGCCGGCAGCGGGACTAGGAGATCCGAGCTCACGTGACAGGACTTGGACGGAATGAAAATGATGGAATGAGTTTGAGGAGAAAAAAGCTATAGAAAAGCAACTCAATAGTAAAAAACCACAACATTATTCGTTTCTATATCCTCCTAATCAAACGACCGGATCACTTGTTCAGCTTCTTCAATGAAAAGTGTTAACTTTTCCAACTATACCAAGAAACGATGAGTTAATATCAGATGAAGGCCCAATTCACACTGTTAAATATTTGCTACTGCTGTATCATATTTTTTTGCAGAGTGAAGTACTACGGGAAGAAGGCATGCACTCAAAAATGTTTCAGTATACTGAAACTCCTCATTAAAACATCTTGATAGTTTCCATCTTACATAGCCATACAAAAATACAAAAAGCCTTGAAAATATGCGGTAAATAGGACATTAAGGCAATAAAAGTACCTGCTCCAGAATAAACGATATTGTTTCCAGAACCAGGTGAAGCTCTTGTTTCTCTAGAGAGAATGCGGCCTGAAGTTTCTCTTCCTCTTCTTCACTGAAGCTGCTCTCGGCCTACAAACACAGAGGCAGTCAGCCGAGCGTGTGCATGCACAAACCTCACTTATCTATACAGGAAAGGAGGGCCTAGGGCAAAGGCCACGGTGAAAGCAATCTGCATGCTTCAACCTAAATTCTGTCACGCGTTCCAGACAACTGTAAGTGGGATGAAATGAACTTTGCATGGTGACATACTGAGCACTGGGAATCTGACCTGAGAAATGCATGGTTTTTCTGGTTTAATTAGAGGCCACCTCAGACATCTCTGCTTTACATTTCTGATATCTGGTTTGCTTAGTCCTTCCATCTCGTCTCATAATTAGCAGTCACTTCTTGAAACTGCTGGCTTCCCCATCCCAGCGGTACCTTCGTTCCCTACTTCCCCTTCACCAGTCTGTCTGGCTGCTTCTAGTGAGCTGGTCAGGAGCCCTGACAGCTGTCTCTGCAGAGTGAAGCATGCAGCAGTTACATCAACAGGCTTCCTGTGGGGACCTACAGTCCCTGCGATGGGGTCAAACACAGAGGCTTTCTCGTTAGATGAGTTGTAACCACTGATGTGTAACATGAGACATCACAGACTGTTCCCGCTACTGTCCCCCCACCCCCCACCCCCGCCACATACACACACCATCTACATCACAAAGTTACTATGGGCACGAACTTAGAGTTCCTATGTTGGTTTTGAATTTCTCATGGGAAAAAATGTACAGCCACGTGATAGGGAGTAGATAAGAAATGTAGGCTAATTTTAAATGTAAGAGGTAGCTAGTAACCAGCCTGAACTATCAGCCGAGTATTCTTAATTAATAGTAAGTCTCTTCGTATTTATTCAAAAGCCAGCTGATGGGACAGAGAAGGCTGGCAGTCCTGACAAAAAACTCTGCCTACAGTGGAAAGAAATATTGACTGAATTCTTAAGATTTATTTGTATATGTTTGCATGGTGTCTTCATGAGTTTATATGTACTATGTGCATTCAGGAGCTGAAGAAAGCCAGAAGAAGGCATCGAATCCCTGGAACTGGAGTTGCAGATGGTTGTGAGCCACTAAGTGGGTGCTAGGAACTAAACACAAGCCCTCTGCAGGAGCAATACATGCTCTTCACCACTGAGCCATCTCTCCAGCCCTGGGCTGAACTGTCTTTACCAGGAAGAACTAAGTCAGACTTTTCCTAAAGTAAGTTCCACAGAACATTAAATACCAAGATAAAATAGTTCCAAAGTAAACCTTTGCCCTTAAATATATGACACAAACATTAGAATGGAAAATATTCTGGAAAGTTCCATTTTTAAGTTAACTATAGAATACAAAGTTTTCCAAACTTTTGACCAAAGAACATTATCAAAACTTCCACAGATTTAGAGTTCCTGAGAACACATAAAAGAATGATATTTCCTATATTCTCCAAATGATAGCATCATGCTTCAGGGGAATCAGAGGGGTCACAAGCCACAGGAATACAGAAATACAAACCTTCAGGTGGAGCTTTTGAAGAATTCGGATAAGAAGGCGTGGGAACCGTCCAGTATCTATTGCATTTATCAGCGGCACTGCTTTCTTCATGCTAAATATATTTGTAAACAAAGTTTCAAAATAAATTTTAAAATGTATCAACTGCGGTAGCTCTGTCCTCCTAGAAAAATAACCAATCTGAGCATTTCCAAAAGGATATCTCTCCCCCAAAAGCATTCCTGTTGCAAAGTACATTTGACAATTTTCTCTTTAATTACTTGGGGAGGTAGGTACCCTGTCAGGGAATGGCAGTGATTTAGCAGTGGGAATGCATGCTACCACTTAATCCAAAATAAACTCTTAGGGACTATGGAGAAGGACACAGCAAACTAGAGAATTACATCAAAACCATAGAGGATAATGATGGGAAATAATGGTGGGGGGGAGGGGGAAGACAACACATACAAAATTATTTAGAGTGCACAGTTACTTTAAGACCTGTGTCACTTGTGATAACCAATTTCAAAGTGTGTGGTGAGCACAACAGCGTACATACTGAATATGCTTTCATAGTGTGTGTTTCCCCCAGGACAAGAGCTTGAAGAAAAGAAGTGGCTTGTCAGATCCAATGACAGAAGGAAAAATTTTAAAATACCGTCTTCTTCCCAATGCAGGAATGTTATGTGTTCAACCGTCTATACAGTTGCCTGCATTCACGAGTATTTCTTCTGCCTCCACAAACTGAGTCGGTGTTTGCTGAAATAATTGTGTTTCAATGGGGGGGGGGGGGATCTTTATAGGATGTGGTGGGGCGGTCAATAGTGCCAGCATATTGGGAGTGTCCACGAGTCTGAGGCCAGACTTGGCAACACAGGAAGAACTCTGCCAAAGAAAATCTTTAAAACTGGTCTTTGCACCACCACCAGTGCTAGCCAGTCTTACCTAACACACCGAAAAAATTTAAAACTACATAAAATGAAAACACTATTGATGGTGCCAAGACTGCCTAAGTATGTCATAGTGCCTGAATTGCCTTGCTTGGTTTTAAGGGGCTATTCACACGTGTCATTTGTTATTCATAGTACCAGCGTGAGCCTTTCTCACCATCATCGGGTCTGGAATGACTGAAAACAGAGGGTACTTTCCCAAGAAACTGGACGGATTTCGGGTGGCATCAGTAACTTCGACTACCTGCACTACAAGGTCACTCACGTCAGGATCTCTGGTACAGACCAGCTCGGCCAGGGCGCTAAGGCACCCTGCAGGTGAACCACTCCAGAATGGAAGCTTGCAGCTCCCAGCCCTACCACCCCTCCCACCCACGCCCTCGTCCACGCCCGGTCCACCCTTCTCCACGCCCCGCCCACGCCCCTCCACACCCCGCCCATCCTTCTCCACGCCCCGCCCACGCCCCGCCCACGCCCCTCCACACCCCACGCCCCGCCCACGCCCTCCTTCGAGCCCCTAGAAGTCTCTCCGCAGCTCCCCTCCGGCTCCCGACCCGGGTCGACCGCACCGCTGCGGCAGGCGGCGGCGACACCCCTGCTCCCTCCCAAACAGGTCACTCCCGCGTGACGGGGCGCTCAGCCTGACCGCTACCTGGGGCTCTCCGGCAAGATCAGCGCCGCGGACGCCGCCATCCTCAAAGCTTCCTCGCCCGCGCGACTGTCAGCTGTGCACAGCCCAGCCAATGACCGCGAGCCTGACGGAAGCCCGGAAGGGCCACGTCTCACCGCCAGGACGTTTGCGTTATCGGGCTGTGGTGAGCAGGACTCCAAGGGGCTTGTGCATGATCCCTAAAGGAAAAGGAAGGTCAAGGTCATCATTTCTAGCATTCTGACCGTTTCGGAATCCGGGCTGTACATGTATATTTATTTTCATTTATGTATCTGCATCCCTGGCTAGGCGTATATGTATATGTGTGCATTTTATGCACGAGCATACATGACTGTGCATACTTAGATGTAGAATGCGTAGCAATTTACTTTTTTTTTTTTCAGGTTTAGCGGAGAGTTTAAGCAGGCTCCGAGGAGTCTACGGATGGAGAAATGGGCCAAGGTGCATGGCTTGTCAGTAGAGGTTAAGCTACCAACTCTGCTATTGATCCTGCCGTGTCTGCATCCCCAGAGTTCGCTGCAGAACGCAGTTCTGGCTTTGGGCATGTTGGTCCAATCCCTTCTACAGTGGATTCATTGAGCACCTACTGTATACTGTTCATTGAGTGCCAAGCATTGAACTAGGCACTGGGGACTCAAACAGACAAATATGTTTTGTCAGCAATTAAAATGGACAAGTATTTGTTGAGACTCTACTTGGGGTCCAGCATAGCATAGAGAGAAAGATAAAATTACCAGAAAGTGTATAGTTAGGTTTCTCACGAGAGATTAAGGAGACAATGCATTTTCACAAGAACCTTTATCTTCCTCAGAAGAAAAGGGGGGGGGGGGCTCGTGTTAAGGGGTGGGAGTAGCAGAGTAGGGCTGGAAAATGCGAGAAGCTTCCTGAGCCCGCAGAGAAGAGGAGGGCATTTCAGCAGAGGTCAGAATGAGCAAAGGTTGAGAACCAGAAGAGCGATTTGACTGGCGTGTTAAAGACAGTCTGGAAGTGAAACTAGAAGCAGCTTTGGTGAGGGGCTTTGGCCTGTGCACTTATCTGCAGAAAAATGGGTAGCCATTAAATGTTAGGGGTTTGAGTGTTTGCTTTTAAGATTGCAGTCAGAATGACAGTCTGATTCCAGAGAGATTCGGGGAAGACTACACAGGAACTTACTGCAGTAATCATAAGCAAACCCCGTGAGAGTGAAAAGGCGTTGGAAATGAAGACAGCACATGGGTGAGAGTTACATTCCAATAGTAGACTGTTCAAGAGCTGGCAAAAGATCGAATTTAATTTTCCTTCCTAATTATGTTTTACTGAAATTATTATTTAAATTAGTTGGCATTTCTGGAGCAACCGAACAACACTGTAACTGAGAGAAGCCAGATTGCAAATTAAAAGTGAATAATCCCCACGTGGATAATTGAGTCAATTATACAGTATGTTGAACACATACAAATATACTTAGTTCCACAACACTCCACACACTCCCCCAATGTATGCATATCTGAAAAAGATGTATGTGAATCTACATAATTATGGGTCTGTGATCCAAACACAGATTGCCTTACCTGGCAGAACTTTAGAGGGGTCCAATTTCTCCTCAGTCTTTGAAACAGTCTCCTTGTGTCTTGATTTGTTGCCAAAATATAAAGTCACTAATCAGTTAGACCTAGCTCAGATCCCTAGTGAACTTCAGCCCTTCCTTGACTGCCTTAAAAAACACAGCTGGGCTTTAATAAAAGAGGTCAAATCCTGAGTCTGTGTCACCTCATACACCTTCGAATGCCAGATAGGTGATGTGGAGGTGGCAGCAATGTCTGCTTCCCTGGACTGTGGTGAGGATTAAGGGATGTGATCTGTACCACAAAGATTTTACGTGTGTGTGTGTGTGTGTGTGTGTGTGTGTGTGTGTGTGTGTGTGTATGTATGATCAGTTACAGGATACAGGACAAGGTATAACCTGTTGCAAAGCCCTGTCGTTCTGCCCAAGGTAGCTGGGAACTGGCCACACGCTGCTTCACACCACCTGCCCTGGTTGGTCTCCACAACCCAAGACAACACACAACCTCTGGCTTTCTCCTTTTAAGACATCATGTCCACAGACAAGAAGCCCACCCCAAAGCTTTGACAGAATGAATTCCCACACTTCCCTTTTTGTGTAAATAAGGTTTTGAACCTAATGTGAAACTACATACAATAAGAGCAATTATCAAGTATTGTCCAAGAGAAAGAAAGGGTAATAACATACACAAAAATGGAACGACAACCAATAAGAACAACGCCAAGCAAGAAATACATACTCTCCTTGGAGTACTTACAAAGCACAGACCTCCAGAGTCTCGTGCAGAGTGGCCCTGCTGGTCACAATGGTCTATCACACTGACTCTCTCCATATGTAATGATGACTGATTGCCTGCCTACCTATACAGCCATGCTGTGAATGATTTCGCCCCTTGAGTGTGAGAACTCCGTTAAGCTGTTTCCACACTGTCTGGTATATGTGCACACGTGTCCATGAGAGGGTCCTTAAAGTTGTCTACTGGTTACCACTTGTAGAGTGGGGACTGACTGGAGTCAGGAGCCTTCCTTCATGACCCTCTCCGAGCCCCACCCACACCTCCCTCCACACCACGCCCATGTCTGTGAAGGCTCTAGATTAATTAAGGTGGGAATGCCCACCTTCCATAGGGAGTACCATTCGTTATGCTGGGGCCTGTACTGGATAAAAAGGAGACTGCAAACTTGGCAGTACCATTCATTCCCTTCTACTCTGTGACTGTAGTCAGTGTGACGAGTCACATGATGCTCTTGCCACCATGCCGTTCTGGACATAATGGACTCCCCAAGGAATAAGCCAAAATAAACCCTTCCTTCTCTAAGTTGTGTTGATTGGGCATTTTGATGCAGCAATGAGGAAAGTAACTAATATGAACCAGACCAGAAACTAGAGTGTCCAAATACTTCTGGCATTTCTGTATCTGGTCAGGACGGACCCACAGACAAGAATCAGAACTGCTCACTTTCGGGATCCCGGCCCTAAAACTGCCCCATGGGTTTCTAACTCCTGTTGAAAGGAGATGTAGCATCCCCTCCCTCTTTCCTGGGAACTGTCCTTCCTTCTGTTAGGATCTTGGTCCCGTCTGGAGTCCTTCCTTTTTTTGTAGGCCTCTTCTCAAGGCCCCCATGTGTACTCACACTCCAGCTCTCCAATAGGCATGATTTATATTTTTGTATGTAATAAAGTCGGGTAATTTCTGCACATTTCTTTCAGAAATCTCCTCCAGCCCTAATAGAACTCTGGACACACAGAAGAGCCACTCCAAAGTCATCCTTCAGCATCCCAAGTCCAAGTGCAAGTGTTTACCTTCAGAAATTAGCCAACAGCTGCTCACCCACCCCAACGGTACCAGTACTGGACCTTGGGGGTTCTACAACCCATGGCCTCCAGTAAAACCAAGTGACAATCAGCCATTGCTAAAGAGCTCGGGAAAGCGGGGGACAGATCATCTGTATCACCCTTTGATCTGTGTCACCCTTTGATTACAAGAAGGGAAAGGGTCTCACACCCTTTTGTGGGGCCAATGGTGTGAGGAATTTCGGTGTGAGGAAGCTCTTCTGTCCGCTCGTGTGTTCCTTGGAGGGTTTGTAGGCAGAGGTTGGCTCTGTCCTCTTTAAAAAGCACTTTCGGACCCAACCTCCTGTGTCCCCAATAACATTCCAGTATTGAAAGTGAAAAACTGATGGAAACACGAAGGAGGAAATATCACAGGTCTCTCCCCGAACTCAAAGTACCGAGGGGTGAGGGTAGGCAGAGATGGGCTGAGGGACTAACGTGGGTGGGCAGGGGCTTTGGAAAGGCTCCTCCTTCCTAGTGAGGCATGGCTCCTTTTTTGTATTTTTAAATTCATTTTTATTTCCTCTCTGTATTGCTATCTTGCAGTTTTTGAATCCCTGGAATTCACTCTCGCTAAAATAACCTGTTAAGGAAGCGATTAATACATTTTGTCAAATTAGACAGTGTATAGGCATTTTGTACTACCCTGGGCTGTCCTGCCTATGGCAAACTAATTGTCTAGCCAAGGGACATTTTGTGTGGTGATATATTGTTTATGATCTAACAAAGTTTGCCTAAAGACCAGAGAAGCAAAGCAACCAAGCCATCAGAGAACTCTTACCTCTACCAAGGCTAGGACAATCCTGTGCTCAATGTGTCTGGAGACTAATCGCCCTCTGAGACCCTGCTCCTGTCTTATATACCTCTCAAGTGCTGGGATTAAACATGCACCACCACCGCCCAGCTTCTATGGCTAACTAATGTAGCTGCTGGGATTAAAGGTGTGTGCCACCACTGCCCGGCCTCTGTGGCTGTGACTAGCTTTGCATTCTGATCCCCAAGCAAACTTTACTAGATCATAAACCATACATCAACACAATTTTGGAAGTCTGTAATTCTGTAATTCATCCTGAATTTGTCAGGTGCATCAAGCAAAGTATCCCACAGGGCAGAATTGACACTACGTGCTCCCCATGGTTCATCCCAGTCTGAGGACAAACCACAAACCTCCTACGGGGCAACTCGATCAGAAGCCATAGTCTTTCTTGTCCACCTTCCACCAACAGAGTGCATAGCAGCACTCAGTCCCAGCTGGCGGCTCTGCCTTAGCTGTAGACAGCACTTACCTCATAGGTGTGAGGAAGTCAACCGGGGTGTGACCAAACGTCTGTGTAGATGGCAAACATGTCAGTGTCCCTGTTCGACCCGTAATTTCTCCCCTGGCTTCAAATGGCATGACGTGTTTTTAGAGTGTGCATTTTTACCTGTGAATTAGTTGTGTAATTAGGGGAGGTGCTTGGGAGAATAAGGACTGCTTGAACACAGCCTACTCTCTGAGTATTCGCACAGTGGGCTGTGATGTGGAAAGGAAACAAAATGCTTAGAAAAGAAGAGAGAGAGAGAGAGAGAGAGGTATCAAAGCTGCAGGCTGCATTTTTCCAGTCAGAACCTCATTTGCGTTCACTTGCAGTCACCAAGTGGAGGAGGGAAAGGCAGGGTGCGGGATGGAAACCTTAATTAAAATGAAACACAAATTTACTTTGTGGGACATGAATCGGTCTCTTTCTAATCTAATCTCTAACTGGAAGCTGAAAAATATCTGGAATGTTCGCCTCTATTTTCATTTGCACCTCGTTCCCTCAATTTTACCTCCCAGGGGCCATCGCCGTGTAAAGGGCTGATGTTCACACATGAGATGTGTGAAAGCCTGACGGGTTTCTTCAGTAATTTTCACCCATGAACGTCATTTGAAAGGGGCTAGCGCTTCCTGGGTAGGCATGGTAGAGTTGTTTGTTTCTTTGTTTTTAAGTACACTAACTAGTGGAGGAAATGGAAGCTAGTAGACATCACTAGCAGACAGCAAGAAAGCAGCAGGAATGGAGAAAACCAGCTTCGCTTAATACGCTGAGAAAAGATCGCGCATTGAACACCAAATGTGCTCCTCACCTTGCTGGCATGGTGCTGGGGAAAGAAAGTGCTGGCCAAACCCCAAGAACCCTCTTTAGAGTCCCCAGTTCAAGCTTTGTATGTCCACCATACCTGGTGTGACCCTGGTCCCGGCAGGAGCAGAACTGGAAGTCAATGGTTAGCCCAGGAGATTATGGGAAGTCCCTGGAGAACATGGGTCTCTGGGGGCTGATGCAGATCATGGTGGAGACTAGAGGGGTCTAGGGAGTGCCTTTTCAATACTGTTGACTGAATGACAAAGGGAAACAGTAAGACAAGGGGAAATTACACCTAAGAGAGAGAAAAGGTTCTATTGCAATCCTGAGACAGAAGACTTCCCTCACCCCTCTCTTTGTTGTGTCAGGACCTGACACTCTGTCAGGGTTTCCGTGTGCCAAGCAGAAACCAAGGAAAAGCAGTGCACACCCCGCCCCCGCCCCGCTGACTCAGGAGGAATCAGGCTCAGGGATGCAGCAGTGAAGGAAGGCTCTGCAGCCTGAGGGTGCCATCCTAGACATGGCCTGGCAAAGTGAGCAAATCCTCTTGTCACAGGTCTGTTAGCAAAAGCTTAACAGAGAAAGGTGAAAACTGAACCCATTAATAAATGCACTATCAGATTCCCTCTAAGCTTTTATTAAAACTAAGTAGAATTCAATACTGAAGCATCCATCTGGCATTCAGAATGGAAAGACGCATCGATTTCACACACATAGGCAAAAGAACCAGGGAAGCTTTGCATGATATCAGAGAAAGTAGAGCCTTTCAGGCCAGCCCAGGATAGCACAAGAGGGAAAGCTAAGGGCCTTGGTCACTGTATGGTGGGTCATCCCCCAGAAAACCAGTAACAGGCTGACAGTGTGCAAAGGCACACACATGTGCTTCACACACAAAGACATGAAAATGCAGATGAGTGCTCAAGATAGAACCCGACGTGTAAACTGACAGTGAACAAGAAGACTTTATAAAACGAAATGTGATGTGAAAAACAGAGCCAAAGGAGCTGAAAAACAACCAAACTTGCCTCCTCCTGCTGCATTAGAGGCTACAAGAAACAATGGACAGAATTTTAACCTCATCCCCTATGCACACGAAGCACCTTGACTGAGGCTTAGCTATCCGTGGTCATCTGGAGAATGGGGTTTGACTAGGTTTGACTAATGGCCAGGGAGTTTGTTTTCTCTGATGAGATTGTCTGTAATCTCTGCTTGGGATCTTTCTCCATCGATTGAATTTCCAGTAGTGAGTTATTTTCACAC